ACATGAAAATGCTTATAAATGAATTTACTAATTTGCACATTTACTACAAATTGTCACCAGTTAAGAGGAGGGTTCATATCCTACCCTCACTCATATTATCACGTTTGGCTGCAGTTTGCGATTAGGCTATATGCCCAAGAAAAGGAGAAAAGATGAAGGAGCAAAACACATTTCGCAAGTAAATTTTCATAAATCAACTAAACAGCTAGCATGCCGTGCATAGATATATACAAATGCATGTTTGTAAGGACATGCCTTTGATAAAGCAATCGGATGTGTGTGCGTCCACCCCACCTACGGAAGTCACAAAAGTCAATAAAACACAATCAGTCGAGCCAACGAATGGTCATTCATATCGCAGTGAGATTGCATAGAAGTGACCAAATTTTGCTTTGTATGTGTTGATAGAAATGTACATACATACACGCATGCATTTGAGTATATTTATACTAGTATGTAAATTAGGGCGGTCGAAAAAAAAGTTATGCAATCCTAGGATCGTTCTATACTGGAAAATTTTGCCCCTCTTTTTTGTTCATTTTGAAATAAAAACATATTTAGAGATTGCTCAAAGCGCTCAAAATTTTACACGTAAATATTTTATATGTATGGGAACATTTTTTTCTTCGAAATGGTATAGAATTCTTAAAAATCAATATCAATTGCTTATTTTACCATTTTTGAATAATAATTATTTTTAATAGGACTTCCAAAAACCCCAAAAATTACGATAGGGGGCCTCATAGAAAGTAGTTGATATTAAAACAATTTTAAAATAAACAATTGGGTATTATTATTGGAAGTCTCCAGAAGAGACAGAAATACAGTTTTCTCATGGTATTTTCAAGAATTCTATGCCATTTCCACGAAAATTTTATTTTACTTTTTTTTTTTTTAAATACATGGAAAACCGTGAGCGCCCTATATTTATTTTTTGATTTCGTAGTAAAACAAACAGGGGTGGGTATATTTCTTTTGATAAAGAACAATTCTACATAGTGAGTGAGAGCATTAAAATTCCGTCTTTACTTTTATCACATACATTTTTGAGCCACCCTAATGNATTTTTAATAGGACTTCCAAAAACCCCAAAAATTACGATAGTAGTTTATGTTAAAAAATTTTAAAATAAACAATTGGGTATTATTACTGGAAGTCTCCAGAAGAGACAAAGACACACAGTTTTCTCATCGTATTTTCAAGAATTCTATGCCATTTCCACGAAAATTTTATTTTACTTTTCTCTTTTTTTTAAATACATGGAAAACCGTGAGCGCACTATATATATTTTTTGATTTCGTTGTAAAACAAACAGGGGTGGGTATCTTTCTTTTGATATAGAACAATTCTACATAGTGAGTGAGAGCAGTAAAATTCCGTCTTTACTTTTATCACATACATTTTTGAGCCACCCTAATGCCCCTATATCTGCTCCACCACATCGCTTGTAATTTTTTGGCAAACCAGTTTATTGATTTTCTTTGTACCAACTCATTGATATACGCTGGTTTCGGCTGGCTCTTGAAAACGAATTTTGTCCGCATAATTTGACCCTTAAAATCTTATCTTTGTCTGCTTTCATCATTTGCTATCGGCTAGGTTGACAATCCGCATTCTACCCTCTCTTACGTACGCTTGATTTGATTTACATCCCCCATATATCCGCTATGTCTGTTGTTGTAGTTATGTTGTTGTATGCTTACATCTAAAGGTCCTGTTGAACACATGTTCGGCCTGGATTTGATCTTTTATTCGATAATTGGGCATGAAAATGCTCTATCTTGAATATGATTTGCTTAAATTTTTGTCGAAGGTGAACAGCTGTGTTCAATGGTAATTCAATGAGTGCATTTACAAGTGTTTTTTGGTTCAAATGAGAGGAAAATTTTATGAGTGCGACAGCCGGGAGGGGGAGAGATAAATTGAATTATAACGAAGTATCTTTTATGGTACTTTTAAGGGTTATAATATTTTAGGATTGGGTTGGCTGTGAAGTTTTTTCTGAGAAATTAGGACTGGTATTATCCGTACGAATTCCAGACCACTGCGGCGGTTATCGGGAAGAAATTCTAGCCATAAAGGATAAATATCTTCTTGGATAGCCAGGCGGCCATCAAATCAATGAATGCGGTAATGCTAAGATCAAAGGTTGCACAGGAATGTCCCTCAGCCCTAATGATATTAGCGCCGTGTTCAAAGTCAACCCCATATGGGTCCTGAACATAGAGATATTTTAGAAAATTGCAGAGTCGATGAACTAGCTAGGAAAGGTAACAACCTTCCACAGTGTCATGATAGAAATTAGTAGAATTGTGATACCCATGGCAACCTGAAAATTGATGATTTGAAATAGCAAGAGGCCAATAGCCTATGATTAGATGAAGGCACTTGTTGAACAGCTATGATACCATGGCCTCAAATTGATAAGAACAAAACAGAAGAACTGCTCAACCTCTCAAGGGAGGACTTTTCGAAGGTCCTGTATAACCGGTCATTGGCTATTTGGTATGCACTCTTCGAGATTAGTAATACATATTCACCAAGAATTTTGCTAGAAGTTGGAGAGATGAGGAAGAGGAATAAACAGTCGAACGCCCCTTCTGCAGTTGCGCAGCTTTAGCTAAAAGCAGACGAGACTTTTAGGCAAGCAATTCTTTAGCTCTCTCACGGAACTATACGGTGTAGGAATAAAAGCAATCCTACGCTTCAAAATGTTTCCATGAAATATAGTCAATTGGGTTTCTCTATTTCACAGTGGTCCCACCATTGACCTTCAGGGTCTAGGTCTTTTGGACTGACTGCTACATTAACCCAACCTTACCTGATATTTTCGGATTCGGGAAGTTCTTTCCGCTTTTACTAGAAAATACTAAGGCCAAACTAATAAGGTCTTGTACGCGGACTTAAAAGGCTAAGTCCGCGGCAATTTGCGCAAAACGGAGGATCAGCCTTCTTGTGTATTTGGACGAGGGCCTTTGCATTCTAATCCAGTAAGCTTCGGTAGCCTTATGGTTCTATAACCGCGCTATTTATCATATGGCATCATAGTTGGTTATGGTTGGTATCCCCAACCCTATACAGGCTTTCGTGCAGATAACATATAGCGACTTAACGAAGGCATCGCTGAAAACTTTCGAAGTTAGTTAGCAGTTTCCAAATCGTATTTTTGTAGGAATTCGCCTCAGCCTTGACATCTTCTGTAAGGCGCTTAACTTTCTGTTGAAATCTTATATCGCTTTTACTTTCAGGCAGGATTTATAGGAGCGCAATGATGTCAGCCAGATTTTGTCTTTAGGTCAATTAAATCTTCTGGAAATTGGCAACTTTCCTGTTAAAGGACTAGCCATTCCAGGAGCATTTCTTCTAATAGTAGTCCTTAAAACGTTTGCCGTAATCGTCTACAAAATTGATGGCTCCCATCTAAGGTGTATTTTTTTCCATTTGACTTCAAAAATTATTATATGTATAGCGGTTATAAGGCGAGCCCACTTGCACCCATCCTTCCTCATAGAAAGACTACCCCACAATGCACCACCTGGCACATACGATAGTTTCGCGCAAAGGGGTTGGTATAATGATTTGGAGGACAACTGTTTGTCAAAAAATATTCAAATAATTTAAGCCAACATCATAACCTGTAGCATTTATTTTATTCAAACTTTCAATATAAAACCAGCTTACAGCTCGGGGTATAAAGGATACAAGTTTTAATTCAACATTGTGCTGTGAATATTCACATCTTCTAACTGCTTTTCATTACCCTCTGAATTTCCTAGTGCCGTCTCTACTTTGGACCCGAAACCCCCTTTCGCCTTTCGTACACATACACACAGCTTGCGTAGCAACTCGTCCTTCGACCGCACGCAACCAACTGCCGCTTGATCCAAACGATTCAATTTGTGCTTATCCAAAGACACCGTTAGCGTATCACTGTTATACCAAAGTGCAACTTCAAATTCTGCTTTTACTGCCGAAGTACTAAATTTCACGTAGTAATAATTTCTGTGCCGCTGACTATTGTAGATGCCATACAGGGTGTGCACACTCAAAAAGTGACAAGTGCCGTTGAGTAAACCAGCATTCCACAGCAGACGATTCATATGCGATAGCAGTGAGTTCATTATCAAACTAGTCTCATAAGAATTGCACCACTTGGCAATGAAGGGTTCACAACTGCACCACAACCAATCAATACCAGCGTCGCTGCAGCTACGATTCGCCGCAATTGGTTTGAGTATCGACTGACAGCTGGGGCAATCGGCTGCGTGCGCGTATCGTGGCGGTACGCCGGCGCCGAGCGCTAGCACGTGCTTTACGGTTTGATGGAGGTCCAAGGGGCTGATCAAGCGATTGCGATTTGTTTGCAAAGTTTGCACTAAGTCCGGATGTTGTTCTTCTTTCCATGCGGTTGGTAGTGAAATGTAGAGCAACGGTAAACGCTCCTCATAGAAGCCGCTCTTTAGTTTGTTGAGACGTCCACGCAGCATGCCATTGCCGCTTAGAATAATTACAACATAATTTTCCAGTATCTGAGTGTTTTGCAGCAGCTCCAAGTAATTGGAGAATTCTTGGTCAAAAATTGTTGGTTCCATGAAGTGATCGCGAAAGCTTTTCACCCAAAATAAGCCTAGACCACCGTGTCCCGAAAAACGTTCTGCAAATTCTAGCGCATAATCGAGCACATAATTTGCAGAAAAGCGTGGGCCCAAGCAATACTTTGGCATAAGAAAGGAAGCATTGATTCTAAGTTGACGCTCGATGGCCAACATAAATGGTCGTAGATAGTAATCTGTGGGTGGCTGTCGCTCAGTTGTGAGTGTTAGCAGATCTGTGCGATCTTCAGCAAAGGCGGTAGGCATGCCCATGGCATGGACTTGCTGCCACAGGAAGGGGCAGTTGTGGAGAACACCTTCGCTCTGGCGATCGCAAAGTGAGTGATTCTTTGCGAGATTGTATCCAGTTAGAAGCGCCATCAAGTTGGGGAATGCATCATAGCCGAGCTGAAATAAGGGCGAAATAGAACAAGTTTCAGAGTTTGAGAGCTGCTGCACTTCTTGACACAGCGCAAAGGCTTCTCAACACTCGAAAATCTATGCGCGTACTCACCTTATTAAACCCAGACATTTCATACCACTGCTTCTTATTTTTTCTTAAGTATTCATAGGTCTGCCGCATTCTACGCCGCAAATTAATCTGCGACAAACTATCCATACCCAAAAGCAGGACACCTATTTTGTTCTTATTTTCATGGCTCTTAGTTTGATTTCGTCTGTGTATGAAGAAGAATGCATCTACGAAAATCAATTTTTTACTTCCACGTTGCATGCAGTTCACAATAATGCCATTCACATCGAGGGGAACAACAAAATCTTGTTGGAAAATGTAGCATGGTGGCCCTCTGAAAGAAAATTCGCACTGAATTAACATCCCGATTTGGTATATTCTTGAAACTGAAAAAGGTTTAAAAGCTTTGAAAATCTCAAAATTGTAACTTAACCCTCGTAACTCTTGGAAATATGCTTCCACTTTTCGAGATTTCCACTCTTCAGCTTACTTAATTTCGATCTCCATTTTTTCATTATTATGTTCCCTATGAATCTCCCTAAAACAGCATGTAATCTCTGCACGTTGCGCCAAGTACAGTTGCTTCCATTTCTCATTTATNATGATTGTTGGAATACTGACTTCCTCTAACTGCAATGAAATAGAAGTGAAATTGAAAAAGCTCTGCAAGAAGCTTAGGTCGAGTGCATACGGTTAAATATTTTATATTAAATGTATCCATGGTGATTTATTTGGATACAAATACATTCCACGGCTACCTCAAGATTTTTTATTTATACTGCTACTAACTACTTCACACACCACATCCGTGCTTCACAATGTGCATACAGCCTTATGTCGCTTCTATACTCACCTCAGGTGAGAAAGGACGAATGCGCGGTATTTCACAAACACTATCTCGCACCAAAAACTTAAGCGGATCTCGAGAATCAATTTTTTTATTTAGTGGCGTTATTAAATGCCCATCACTATAATCCTCCATATTGGTCTTGAAGGATGAGTGTAGGCGATAACCGCAATAGTACATTATCACGAAGAGTAGTATGAGCATCAGCACTGAGGCGTATGGATTAGATCTTTTGCCAACGGCATGTTTATTCGACATTTTATAAAGAAATACGCGAAACATGTTGCGTGAAATACATAATTCTTAAAAATCGTTTCATATTATTTTCTGTCACTTTTTGAAATTTTTAATTTTTTTTGAAGGCAATGAAAATGTAACCAAGTTTTCATAATACTTTGTTCACACTACAGTCATATTTGGGTGGAGGAACCTAACGGCTTAAGCATTTAAGTGTAACGACTTTGCAAATACTAGTTCTATTGGAAAAAATACTTTAAAATACCTTATACATATTTGAAGTTAAACCTCGAAAGGTACAATTGCACAAAGTTAATGCGCAGACCTATTATTCTATAACACCACATTGTCTCCTGAGTCGTGGAGTTAGCTGAGTTTTGCTTGCGTTGACTCCACTTCTGTCTTCTTCCATCAGATGGCGCAGCATATTTAAGGATGTGCTTGGAAATGTTGCCGTTTCCTTATATCGGTTGAATGCCTCAGTTCCTTGCAATTAGCTGCCTGAGAAACCATACGTAGGCTCCGGCCATTTGATTAGCTTTACCTAAGTGCGGGTAGTTCACAAATAATTGACTTTTTAGGGAAGTGTATCTTTTATTTGCTTTAAGAACCTTTCTAGCTTTAGAATCGGGTTTCGATACGAGTATTTTTCCCAATACCTTCTCGGTACTTGGTTCCAAAAGTAGCGATAGACAACTTTTCATAGCAATTTTTTACATTCTCTCTAATACCTTTTTTAGATAAAAGACATATAGATAAAGACATATGATAGTATTATTAGGATTAGTAGTTTATCCGTTTTCACTTGACTTCGTATCTTTAAATCTACCTCTACGTAGGAGAACCACATATGTATGTCATTCGTGAATTTCGAATTAGATTTCATTGAAGCTGGACTAAATAGAAAAGAGATCTCATCACTCTATGGGCATCCTGTGGTAGCTAAGAATTAACTATTTCCTATCCTAGAGCGGATGTAATAGTTCTGGATTGAAAGACGCTTATTATCCAGCGCATTTGGTGATGTTAGCCTCCTCACTTTGATCGCTACCACCTATTTGAGAGTGTTGAGTATAAAATTTTTTCTAGTAATATTTGAAATATTTAAGATTAATTCTCATGGTTCCAAAATGTAAAAATCTTTCCATCTTTTTTTATTAACCTAAATTATCTGATGTGACGTTACATGGCGTTTCCATTGAAAAATTGCTTGTTAATCTTGTTTTTAAACTAAGTTTTGACCAAATAAAACATGAATTTTATGTCGAATACATTTTTTGTTTTGACTTCAGAGCTACATAACAGTTCCATTTTTTGCAAATCTATGTCGTCTTGACCTTCTGCCTGGAAGCACCGATATGCCTATATGCAATTTAGCAATACGGATATATTTTGGGCATCTAAGAGAAAAAATGTGTACTATCTATGTGGCGGGATTTCAACCCGCGCCGTCGGTGATATCAATTAACACACTTACCTCGACATAAGCAAACTTTTAGGAAAAGTGTTAATTCTTTATAAGTAAGATTAGACCAATATTCAGATTTGATTTTTTGAATTTGGTATCCATATTTAGAATATCAAGTATTTTTATCCCGATATTAATGGGAACTCGAAATTTTTTGACGGCGATACTTTATTGAGTACTATATCGATACATTCGGTTATATCGTATCCCGTATCGGTTTTCGATCCTTTGATTCAGAACTTAAGTGACACTAAAGATGACCCAACGCCGAAACCGGTTTGTCTCCAGATCAAGTTTGACGAGGAATGACGGAAATTCGGTCCAAAACACATCATTTTCAATAGTCCTTGTGGGGCTGCGCGGGACTACTATACTTTCTAGCCCGATAAAAACAAATTATTTAGTATAGTATTCAGAGCTGATTTAAATTTTTTCAAAAATATTAAAACTTTCTGAGAAGTTTAAGTCTAAAGATTGTTAAATTTGGTTCGTAAGATATACGTGATTAAGTGGAACCACTTTCTATTTTAAGCTGAATAACGGTATATTCGCAAATATCCCGAAAACTTATCCATAAAAAGAAAAACAACTCGATTTTCGGAACCACCGAGCATTTCTACATAGAAATTGGATAGTGACATACCATTGTTAATTTTTGCTGTAAACCAGTGAAATTAATAAATATTTTAAAAAGTTCGGGATTTGCTCACCTGGAAGATACATAAGCTATTCGACAATTCTTAAGTACCAACCCATTTTTTGCAATATAAATGTCAAAGAGCTATATTTAACTTCATTATCCTGATCTAAAAATGTATTACCGCTCAGCGATGCTGTTTTAAAACTATTTACATACCTATATACATTTATGCATGCATATGCATGTACTCACACATATTTAAACAAACAAAATTGGTTTCAAATTCATATGCTCTTTAGTAACTAGTATCCCTACACAACGGCGTTACCTCCAATTTTCTTGATCACTTCAATTTTAGCCACTTGCCAGGTTGCGCAAATAATAAAAAAAGGAAATTTTATTTTATTTGCACTCATAAATTTCTATTACATTTCTTATCATACTTTTATGAGACTCCCTTGATACATATTGCAATGAAAAGAAATTGATAGCTATCAGGCAATTGTTGGAGTAGCGAAGGCGAGGCAATGTGTGCAAGAAAAACGATACACCTGTGTATTTTTACGAATATTTTGGATGCGTCCCAAAAGTTGTGTGTTGACAAGCATAAAGGATATGCATTCGGAAATGAACTGGTACATATTTGACAGCAAGAGTGGAGCACTTGCCAAAATCAATTTGCCTAAAAGGTGACACAGCAGGGACTTCAAAAAAAGTCAAGCGCATACACAGATCATAAATAGAGTTGGTGAGTGAAAGCAAACTAGAGAAATAGCATGGAAAATAAAGAAATACCCTTGCTAGACAACTTCTTTAAAGTGAAAATTCATATTTTGATGTACATTTGTATGTTGTTGGGTGCTTGCTACTTGAAGTATTCGGCTTTTTAATACATACATATGTACATTAGACTGCATCACCAAAAAAAAGTTGCGGTTTTTCCGCCGGGATTACAAAAATTTATTACATATGAAGGCATCCACCAAAATATTTCGCAAAAATATTAAGATTTACGTGAACTGGAAACGATTTGAAAATACCCCTAAAAATAGAGTTTCTTATGAATAAAAATAGTTTCTTAAAGAAGTTTTTGAAACAAATCCCTTCAGATGACAGATCAAATTAAGCTTAAAAAATAGTTTTTCATATACCAGTCTTTGAAAAAAGTTAAAAAACAGCATCAAAAATATTATTATTACGATTCCGTTGAATTTTTTTTTTTAATTTTTAAAACAATATTTTTATGTAAATTTTTCAAGCCGTTTAGTCATTTGAGGGGAGTTTTTTTTTACATCTTTAAGAAACTATTTTTATTCATAAAAAACTATATTTTTGGAGGTATTTTCAAATCGGTCCAGGTCACCTAAATCTCGTTATTTTTCCGAAAGATTTTGGTGGAAGTCTTCAAATATATTAGATTTTATAATTCCAATGGAAAAAAGAGTACCGATTTTTTTTTTTTTTTTTTTGTATGGGGAGTGATGCAGTCTAATGTAGATACATACAAATTTAATTGCAATTTGTACTTCCTTGTTGTTTTTCTTTTGTATTTTTCTTTCTCTTTTTTTGCCATTTGCCACTTGTCATCTTCTACCACCCATAAGTAGGTCACATTAAATTTTTACGAGTTATCATTACTAAATGTTGGCGTCGTTTAAATGTCACCGTCGTGTATCTTTATTTCATTGCTTCTGGCACTTCGTTTTTGTTAACATATATATTTTTTATTTTTTTTTTCCTAAACATGTCTCATTATGGTCGGCAATCTGTCGTGATAAATGTGGCCATGAATCAATTTAAGTGGTTTTGAAACATGGTTTTTACTAAGGAGACTTTCTTTGGGGAAGTGGTATGAATACAACTTAAAAAAAAAAACTTTCGAAGCAAGTAGCCTGATAAACAAATATTGTTAGACAAACAAGTATAAATTTCAACGTACATATCGCACATGGTCTTCACAGGTGACAGAACTCAATAGTACACGTTCGATAGAAAATGTGAAAAACTATGGCTTAGCACATGTAAATCATATGGGCAAGAAAGACTTTACCTTAGGTTTTTTCAACTAATTATAAAAAAAAAAATTGCTCCAGCTTTTGCTGATGAAAGGTAAATAAAAGCTCTGTGTACATTTATGGTAAATAATTTCAAAAATGGTAAATTTTGAGTTGTGTCACTTTTGAAGATCGTGTAGGATATGTATCGCCATGTTGGGAGGCGAATCATCTGCCAATTTACAGTACACATAAGACCTTTGTATCGAAAATTGAACTAGCTCAACCCTGTTCAAAGAGGACTCCAACAGGTATGGTGCGAAGAAATCACTGGAAGGTCTTTATAACCAATTGGGGTGTCCAAAAAAGTGCGTATTTGAAAGTTTAAAAGTCGGTTAGGAGCACCCAGAACTGACCTTTAGAGATCTTTAGCTACCCTCATCTTTCCAAGGTTACGACAAAAATAGAGAATGGTCACTAATAAGTTTATTATGACCCAAAATCAACAGCGATGTCCAAGTTTTTCACTCTACCAGAGGCTGCACTTTTCAACACGTGTACAATTACGAAGAGGCTTAAACTGAACGTCCGCCCTTAGAAAAGGATGTAACATTCAATAACCTTCCAGCGAGAACTGCAGTAGGTAAATCTAAAAGCAAACCGAAATACTGCTTTCGTTAACTCAACTGTGTATGTCCTTATGACATCATAAAAACAATTACGCGTTGAATTCGATGAAACAACAGAATGTGCTTCTGTCCTGATGGCTGACATTAGGATATCACAAGACGAATTGGCCTAGATTCAACAAGATGGACAGGACTAAACCACCACGCCACGTAAGAAAGCAGCTACGTCATGTAGATGGTGTTGTCCGGACACACACACATTTTGCTTGGTTTTTTGGCTCAACTTCACT